CCCCAAAACCCCAAAACCCCAAAACCCCAAAACCCCGAAATATTTTGAAGAGGTTGATACTATATTAATTCATGCTAGTAACCGAAAACGCGAATTTATATGGATTTCAGATTCCTAAGACTGCTATAGACTTTGCAGCAGGCGTTGTCTCTGGATCAATCGGAGTGTTTGTAGGACATCCTCTTGACACTCTTCGCATCAGGGTGCAACTATCCAATTCCAAACCAATGCTTGAGTTAGCAGCTGAAACTTGTGCTAAAGAAGGTGTAAGAGGACTCTACAAAGGAGCAGTGGCTCCGGTGATCGGAAGGGCTCCAATATCAGGAGTAACCATGGCAGCCAATGACTATTGACTCAGAATGATGAATTATTTCAATATGGGTGAAAACCTAAAAGCTACTATTGCTGGAGTGTTTGCAGGAATTGTTTCCACTCCAATATGATGTCCAATTGAACATATTAAAATTCGAAAGCAAGCTTATTCTAATGGTAACATCAGTTATAAGTCCATTGCTATACAAGAAGGGTTTTCAGGCTTGTTCCGAGGCTTGACCCCAACTTTAACCAGAGAAATCCTTGGCAATGGATCTTTCTTCGCAAGTTATGGTTATCTCAAGAGAGTGTTCAAAATTGACCAATTGAGTCAAAATAACCAATCATTAAAGAGTCTTTATATCTTCTTGTCTGGAGGACTTGGTGGGATATTGTCTTGGATTGCTTGCTATCCCATGGATATAGTAAAAAGTGTAATGCAAAATAACCCAGAACACACTAATATGATGCGAACTTATCATTACCTATTGAGTAGACACGGATACAAAGTCTTTTTCAAAGGACTGGGTCCTTGATTAATTAGAGCCTTTCCTGTTCATGGAGTCACCATGCTTCTGTATGAATGGATGAAAAGCCCATTTGAGAACGCTGAATATCCAATAAATTGAGAGATGTTTGGATAATGTTCACCAAATTTCAGGTGAATAATTATATAGTATTTTCTAAGCCAGCCATAAGTTTCAATAAAAAATCAAACATTTGGGGTTTTGGGGTTTTGGGGTTTTGGGGTTTTGGGG